GTGTTTACTCTGTTTCTATTCTATAAAGTGAGGAAAGTATTACGTATTTCATTAGAAGTAAGTTCTGTGGGTTCAATTAGCTAATGTTTAGATAGCGCTTGGTTCATAATAGATGGTTTACTGAATATTCAATCTCTTCCATTAATTACAGAAGCAGATTGATTCCAGAATCTGGATATTGTTAATTGCTATGGGGGACATTTGTCTGTGATCAGAAATAATCTGGATTTTTGGGTTCTTCACTTAAACTTGAAATCTTATTTTTACTTTTTGTTGGACTCTTTCAAGGTGACAGGTACTTAGTGAGTAATGACACTTAAGGATGTTTGAGGTGATAACTGTAGCTACCAAGCCTGAATGAAGTTTGTTCTCAGCCTAACACTGAACCCTGTGCATGTTACCAAAATATTAACTATCTTTTTTTATCCCCCCCAAAAATCTTGCTGGAGTATCTCTTTGGCTACTATGTCCTTTCCCAGTGTTTATGCCATGAGTCTTCTAGCTACCTTTTAAACAATCTTTCTGATTCTAGCACAATGCTGTCCGGTTCCATCCATTTCCTGTTCGGGGCATTAATCGTGTCCTCACACTTGGGGAAGTTTGCTCTTTGAGGACAGTGACTTTTGACCAATCAGCTGTAAATGATTCCTTAATTCCCTATTTCATTGATCAGTTCATTTTCCTTACAATGAGGGATGGAACATTTCTTAAAAGTTTTCCTTTGCAAATGGTAACAACATCCCAGTTAACTCCATTCTCTAGAGAAGTGCTGTGTAGGGCAGATGCAGTCTGTCTGTGGATCTTACTGTTCTGTGAAATAGGAAAACCCTGGGATTAAGAAGACTGTTCCACCACGAAGGTAGGAAACAGTATGGAAGCTAGATAAGGCTTATAAGCCATTTGGCAGCTCTAAGATTCTTTGAGATAAAGGAGTCAGCTTCTTTGTTGCATTTTCAAAAGCAAGTACAGCATTTTGGGGTTACTTGTCAGAAATACATATACTACGTGAAGAAGGAAATTGTTAGTGCGCTGCTGGTTCCTTTCCTTTTAGAGTCACTGTTCATTTGTGGGCCACCTCCAGCCTTGGACATCAAGTAGATAATTCCGTTAAGACAGGCAGTCTTCATATGCACAAAAAAAACATGAGCATTGCTACGGGAACCTTGTGGGACTTCTCCCTTTTAACCCCATAGATAGAAAGCTCTAGCTGTGTTTTTCTTCAGGAGGAACTGCCAAGGTCGGGGACCACGACAGTGTGTGTTCCTAGCGTTCTTGTTTTCCTCTGTCTTTTTCTTTACTGTTTAGTTGTGCATGTTGAACTTTTATATTGAAGTATAATGTGTAAATAATATATACAACAAAGCAAATAGTATTGTTACCACTCAGGTTAAGATCTTAGTTTCCTAATACATAATCCCCCCTCCCTCCATTAGAGGTGAATACGATTTGTTACTATTTAGTTTTAGGAAACTGCTTTATGAACTGTCCTTAAGAACCTGGAAGTGACTGATTCCTCAGAGCCTGTGGATTAATAAGCTTGCTAAGTGTAGGCCCGAGTGTCAGTGTTTCTTTGAACAGATCGCTAGATTTGCAAACCTCTGGACTAGATGGGTTTTATCCCTTGTTTGAGCTTACTGGCTCTGCTTAGAACATGTTATTTATCTTTCCTAAGGTGAATTTCTCCATCTATGAGATACACATAATGAAAATACCTAAAGACTGAAATGTTGAAAACACTTTCAATGGTGCTATGTTGCGGTGAATGAAAATGAAAGGCAGAGGAAGGTTTAATACACACTATCTTATCCTTGTGTTTGCTTCCTTTCTTTTTTAATTGAGTTACACATTTTCCCTCACTCCCTTTCCCTCCACCCCTCCCCTTCCACCCTCCCTCCTGACCCCCCCTCCCAATTTACTCCTGAGATCTTGTCATTTTCCCTTCCTAGGCAGATCCATGTGTCTCTCTTAGGGTCCTCTTTGTTAGCTAGGTTCTCTGGAGTTGTGACCTGTAGCCTGGTTGTCCTTTGCTTTATGTCTAATGTCCACTTATACGTGAGTACATTTTATATTTGTCTTTCTGGGTCTGGGTCACCTCCTCACTCAGGATGGCTTTTTCTAGTCCCTGCAAATTTGCCTGCAAATTTCAAGGTGTCATTTTTTTTTTTTTTTTTTTTTTTACTGCTGAGTAGTACGCCATTGTGTAAATGTACCACATTTTCTCTATCCATTCTTTGGCTGAGGGGCATCTAGGTTGTCTCCAGGTTCTGGCTATTATTAATAATGCTGCTGTGAACATAGTTGAGCAAATGTCCTTGTGGTGTGGGTGTGTGTCCTTTGGGTGTAAGCCCAAAAGTGGGATTGTTGGGTCTTAAGGTAGGTTGATTCCCAATTTTCTGAGACACCCGCATACTGAATTCCAAAGTGGCTGTACAAGTTTGCATTCCCCTTAGCAATGGAGGAGTGTTCCTCTTTCTCTACATCCTCTGTAGCAGAAGCTATCTTCAGAGATTTTGATCATGGCCATTCTGTTTTTTTGAGTTTTTAATTGTAAAGAAATTTGTACTAATTTAAGCAAAACAATTTCCAGAGATTGAGAATGAAGAGAATTCTTTCTCACAAATACTAAAAATTATTAGAATTGATTGTTGTATTTGTGGCTTTCAGAGAAAAGTGAAACTGAGATTACTCTGAGTGCACATGGACTTTCTAAGTTTGAATGGAAAAGAGGAACCCGGCTTGAGTGTCTAATACATTGTGTGTGCCTGTGCCTTTCCCTCAGGTTTTGGTTCTCACCATGGCCATCACTCAGTTTCGGTTATTTAAAGTTTGTACCTGCCTAGCAACAGTGTTCTCCTTCCTAAAGAGACTAATATGCAGGTAAATGACTTCTGTGTTCATACTGACCTATTTGTCTCTTCATTGGTTTGGATTACTTCCTAACTTCAAAAGACATGGAATGTTTTATTTATATTAGTTGTCTTGTTTATAATATCCATTAATCTCTGTGCTTTTTAAAAACATTTTTGCAGATCTAGAAAGGATTTCTGTTGTTCTTTCAGATTTTTGCATCTTCCATTTAAATTTATTAAATAATTAGTCGTGTAAAATTTTGGAAAGAAGTAGACCAATGTTAAATTGTATCATATATTATGTACTATTTCATTACTGGAATGTTTAAAAGTGCTCAGTTGGGCAAAGTTAAGTATAGATGTCTCTATGTATATTTCCATATGAATTCTATTTTTTATATTTACTTTGAAAACTTTTAACAGAGAGGCTAAGGAGATGACAGTGGTTAAAAGAAATTGCTGCTCTTGCAGAGAGCCTGGGGTCAATTCCCAGCATGGTGACTCACAGCTGTCTAAACTCCAGTTCCAGGTGATCCAGTGCCCTCTTCTGCCTCTGGGGATACCAGGTGTTTGCCCAGGCATACATGTGAAAAACACATAAAATAACAATGTATTTTAAAAACTTTAAACAAGGAAACTATAAATAAAAGTTTTGTGGTGTGTGTGTGTGTGTGTGTGTGTGTGTGTGTGTGTGTTTCAGGTAGGCAATAGTAAATTCCTTGGCTTCCTCTGGCTATCCTTAGATTCCAAATCCTTCTGTCTTACCACAAGGCCACGCCCTGGCTGTAGTTTCTCAATTTCCAGTGCCTCAGGACTTTTCATGAC